TCGCTGCTGGACGGTACCGCAGAGTCCCGCCTCGTCTCATCCAACAACAAGGTTTTAGTTTGGACGTAAAGAGCCAAAACGCACGTGTTGTGCACGAGCATCTACTCGGTACACACGGTAACTCCACGCTGACGTGGCTCAGATCTGCTGACCCCGTTCGGCGCCGTTGATGGACGGACCGGACTGCAGCGGCTCAACCAGTTCAGTAAAACTGAAGATGGAAACTCGCTGGAGCACGCGTCGAGCTTTAAGAATGAATAAGTTTTCAGATAAACGCATGTCCAACAGCCATGCCTCGTTGTCGTCTGCAGGTTCTGGAGGACCGGGTCCTCCTCCAGAACCTGCAGACCAGGAGTCAAACAATCTGAGGGAAAAACACCTTCTGTGATCTTTTCTTTCAGAAATTGCTTCAAGTAAATATTTTTGTCAATTTAAATAAAAAGTGAAAAACTGAAGCCGTCAAGGAGCACATTTATAAAAATCAATTTAAATTTAATATTTTTATTTCAAGCTGAGGCAGCTTTAAGACTGACCAGTTTATTGTGGATACAAATATTTAAAAATAGTATTTGAAGTGGTTCTCTAAGGGGTTTGATTTCTATCCCTTAAAGTTGAAAGTCGAAGGAGCGGTCGTCTCGTTACGCCTCCGTGTTTCTTCAGATTTCAGTCGTGAAGGTTTCTGACGTCAGGTCTGCTCGGAGCCTCCTGACAACTCTTTGTCACGAAGATGTTTGAAGCTCCAGATTCTTCGCAGCGGTGCAGAGAACACCGCCGCCCAGCCTCCTCCCGACAAACCCACACCTCGAGTATTTTTAGCAGCGCTCGTGTGAATCTGCCCGAACTGTTAACCAACCCTCCGTCGGCGATAACGCGTTTCAACTTCACGCCCCTCTGACTCGTTGTTTCTTCTTCTGTTCCCTCATCCAGAGCTGATGTGCTGCACGGAGCTCCACGCCGTTCTGCACTTGGTGCTGCAGGCTGGAAACATCCTGAACGCCGTGAGTTTTAAAAAGTCGTGAAGAATTAGAGAAGGAACGAGAAGCAGAGGTGGTGAAAGGACACAGATCGTTAATGTAACAGCTGGAAACGTTGCTCTGCTGCACTTTGAGCTGCAGGGTCGATCTAATGTGGTTGTTGAGACGGGAAATCTTGAGCTGCTTGTTTAAACAAAACACAAAAAAACTTCCATTATTATTATTCCTGATTAGGGAATTGAATGTAAACTAAATGAATAAACATTTTTATCATCCATATGGTCAAAATTCTTCCCTACTG